TGCTGGCTGGGGAATTCTGGGAGTTGAAGTCCAGACATCTTCAAGTTGCCAAGGTTGAGAAACACTGGTATAGAGCACAGTCAGACTTGCAAGATTCTGTTTTTGTAGCCAACTTCAGTAAATGTAATTGTACCCTTCCCATGGAGTTGATGGTTATGGTCTGGTGTACCTTGATGGGCTGACATTAACAACCCTCCTTGGCTCCTGTTTAGTAACCCATGGGTTTGAATGGATTTAATTCTTCAAGTCAATTAATCTAAAATTGACATTCACTGGACTTTCTTCCAAGTATTCGGAATCATAGTGTCAAGCCACTATCTCTATGCATAGGTTTAATGATGAATTTGCCTATAACAGGATAAGGTTGCTATTTCATTACCTATTTTTCCTTCCAAGCTTCTTATTGTGCAGTTCTTGGATGGCTTGATTACTTGTTGTCTTGAATATTTCATACAGTGTAGTCTTCTTCGGAGAAGAATGACACAGCTGTCTATTCGCTTTTTAATAAAAATTTTGAGGGACTTTAAGAGACTAGTTCAATACAGCTCTTAATCTACTTTAAGAATAGCAATCATAGTCATAATGGGGAACTGGAATGTTTCCAATTATACCTGAAACATTTAAATTTCCCTTTAGAATACTTTGCTATGAATTCTTATGCTGCCAAATCAACAGGCAGCCACATTTTCCTCAGGAAACCCTTTAATTTTTTGCATACTGATCGCGCTGAAGAATCAAACTGAAAAATTTGAGGAGATTCAGTGACAGACTAAAAGGCTTTACAGTACAGCCATTGTTTTGTGACTTGAAATAAAATAATTAGGTCTAATTTAAAAGTATTTAAAACATGTTATCATAGTGTATCAGAGGCCACAGAATCAAGTGTATCCTTTTTATTATAAAAAGTATTGTGGTTCAGTGCTTTTTATTGAGCAAAGCTGGTTTGTTTGAAGATTGTTTCCATTACACCATAATTGTGATTATTGTGAAGCAGTATTGTGAGGCTAAAGAAGTGCATACAGGTGAGGTCTGGCTAACCACCTCAGGGATATCTCTGAAATGCCTCCAGAAAGAAAACAGCAAGTTTTACTCTGGAAGCAATCCACTGGTTTCCATTTGTTTTGCTCCAGAATAAGTATGAGCTCATTAGCATGTAATCCATAAAAAGGTCGTGCTTAATTCCTTAGAAGTGCAGGATATTGTTCCTCAGTGCAGCAGTAAGATCATTTTAAATTCTGAATTTAACAATTTAACCAGGTGGCCATTCCTGCTCTTCTCTTCTCTGCTATTTGGGACAGTGATGTGCATGACTTCATTCAAAAATGGGATAAACACCTCTACTGCTGACTTAGCTCCTGCATTCAGCCCAAGTTCCTATCTTGAAGACATCACTAATCTGGTTTATTCATAATAAAATCCCCATGAAAGTTATTTTTGTTTTAGTGAACTTGCTTAGGATAAACTAATGCCCAAAACAGCTTTCACAGACTTGGTAGACAGATCTAACCGCAGTTTCCACAATTCCAAGCCAGATGATGCCTATAAATGGTGAAAGCAATCATCCATCTTTTCTATCACTGTTTAAATATAAATGCATAATAAAATAATGGATTGATCAATAACTAGTACTATGTATTTAGATAAATTTAAATTGATTGTAGATTCTTTAAAAAAGGTGGCTTTAAAAGCAGACAGCTGAACATTTATGTCTTTTTTTCAAGACAGCTGCAATTAAATCTTTGGGAATATTCTGATCTTTATTAGAAACCACATTTATGGGAAAGGTTTTTTAAATGATTTTTCTACATGTTACAGTGGAAGAGAGACAAGATAAGCAGGCTTTTTCCATAACTCCAAAGGAGTTGACATGTAAACTGAAAAGCAAGACTTACTTAAATGGCTCTTTTGCACAGCCTCCCCCAAACAGTAGACAAAATTGCATTGTTTACAAAAATTTATTAATACAAACTTTACACACTTTAAAATAACAGTGCTCAAAGTCCCAGCGGAGACCATGAGTGCTTATAATCATATTTTTTTTTAATTCTTGCCGCAGTGCTTTTGTGATACTCAAGTTGCTACACAGAAAAAGGAGAGGAAAAATAGATATATAGATATAGATATAAATATTTCCAAAAGACTGACATCTAACCTCAGTGATCACTGGATTTCCAAAGGGGATCCACTGGATTTAAGGCTCTTGGCGATAGCTATTCTACAAACAGGCGATCACTGCCCGGAGAGAAAAACGTACCCCGGCGGACTGGCTGCAACTAACTAGCTTTCTGGCCATCTGGGCGAAGCTCATCGCCACAAGCAAGCCAAAGGCAGAGGTCGCCCTTTCCGCACCAAGCACGTGACGCACGCGCGCAGACACACGCACACACAAAACATTTACACAGAAACATACATTTTAAATAAATAAAAAACCACCGCCCGCGGGAGAAGTTCTGCCCGCTGTTTTCGTCAGAGAAGCGGCTCGCGAGAAATTTAACCCAAAAGATTAAAAAGGAAAATGGGGTGGGAGAAAAAGAAAGAAAGAAAGGCAAGCGGATGTCTTGCAGCATTGTAGGGCCACTAAATAGCCATCTGTGATCTCGTGGCGATTTTAAAAGGCGAAGTGAAGGCACGGAAAGTTTGCGTCCTACGGCACATGGCCTGAACGGGAAAGCGAAACTCCGAGGGAGGTTGCGCTCAGCTCCACCCCCACCCCCGCTCCGGGTCGAAGGCCCGCGGGCTGCAGACGGTCTCTTTGGAGCCCTGGGGAAAGCTGTCCTGGCTTCAGTAGTCCGGACCCCGGCTGGGCACAGGGCAATTCCCTGCTTTAAGGGAAAGATGCCAAGCCTAGACCAGGTGTAAAGTCTGTCCTATTTTTCCAAGCCCCGGGGCACCTGCTCCAGTCCATTCCCAATGGGTGCCCCAGGAGGATTGACCGCGTTGATGGCACAAGGGTCAGGGCGCCAAGCTCCCAAAACTCAGCCCATGCCCCCGGCCGACTGAGCCAGGCAGCTGGCGATTCCTATGGAAAGGGTTATTGGGATAAAACCAAGCGGAGCGGTCAGTTCAAGACTGAAGTTCCACTGGTCGTTCGAGATCACCTTTGGAAAGGGAATATTTTTTTTTAAATGCATGCACCTTAAGAGAATTTGTTGTGGGCGCTCGTTTATGCCTTATAACTAGAAGGAAAACAGGTGAAGCAGCTACACTCTAAAACAAGGAAGTGATCTCTTGGACTGGAGGAGCCTAAAAGTATGAAGCTGTTTGAAATCATTGTCACTTGCTGGGTAATATACAAATATTGAGGAAATTAGCTGTAAATGGCTAGATATATAGCCAATCTTTATCAAATGTGTACGGTGGGGAATGGAGCATACCTTGCCACTAGCTCCCTCCCCCTTACCACTCCTGTTTTGGAAATAAAATTCTCAAAGTTTCAACCCATTTTTCAAGTCATTCAAAAAAAAGGGGGGTGGAATGAGGGCATCAAATGTTTCATATCCAGTAGGTCATTTCTTTACATTCTGACCACCCTAAACCCCAATTCAATCAATCCAAAACAATCTCACAAAAAGTGGATTAACTCCAATATATCTAGTTTAAGTGGGGGGTAAATAGGATTTTTTTTCTCATTGAAATGACTAAGAAATTTTGAGAAAGTACAATGGTTTTCCAGAGAGAAGGCTGTGTAAATCTATCATTTGAAACCACAAAAGGTGGTCTTGTGACACCTTAAATACTAACAAATGTTGTCATTGGTGTTGAAGGTGCCTCAACCTTTGTTTATGCTGAAGATTGTGCTGGTTTTTTTAAAAAAAAAACCAAGTGTCCTTGATTCCAGTGGAAACCAAATGATTGGTTTACTGCTCATTTTCCTAGTTATTTGGATGACTTCAGTTTATTCATATCTGTGAGAAGCATTGTGCTCAGGCCCACCATAGGCTAGATAGGTGAATGAACAGGAGTTTAGCTTGGTTCCAATATAGGTAGGGAAAGCAGCTTTAAGCTTTTTGATTGCAGCACTTTTATTGGATTAAATCCAAATTCTGCCAACTGAATCAGGAGATACATTTAGCTGTTCATTTGCCAGGGGAGGGGAGTACCTTCCTTGTTCATTTCTAAATCATTCCACTCCACCCCCACCCCTCGCCCACCTCCCATCGTATTTCCAAATCCCCCTCCATACAGAAAGATTATAAATATCAGAAACTGAAGCGCAGATGGACACTACACATTCTAGTATGACAAAAGTTGATTGTATGAAATAAATTTTACTAAGCGGTTAAAGCCATGATGTAGAAAAATACATTTTAAACCTCCAAACTCAATAAATCAACAAGGAACCAAAAAGAATTAAAATATATATTTTTAAAAGAACCTTTTCTGTAATAGTGCGTTAAGTATTTAGTAGTAGATATAGAGATATATAGTCGCTACAACAAGGGGGAGGGGGCCTGAAACGGTCTTACAATCAGAGCTCGCGTCATAACAAAACTCAAAAAATGCCTGAGGCGTTCACAATATAATTTGTTCGTTGTTGTTTTCAAGCCAAAACAAACTGAAATGACCCGGATGGAAAACACAACATTGCGAGAGAGGCCATGAGGGAAGGGATGGGTAAAATCTACGGGCAACACCGAAGGCGGAAAATGTGGCTCCCCCTGGCCAGGCCCGGAGGGGCGATTCCAAAGAGAAAAGGCCGGCCAATAGAGCAAGATGCGAGGGAGCCTGGGCAGCACTGGAGAGGTGCACGGGATCCTTTGTAGCGCGGGGGGGGGGGCTTAAATCTCTGGGGAGGGCTGGAAGATAACACGGTGCGGATTTTGGGGTGTCCCCTCGGATTATTTCGTGCCTTGCTAGAAAACGAGTCCAGCAAGGCGAAGGGTCCCGTCTGGATTCCATCTCCCTGATGAACTGGTTTTCTAGCGGTGGAGCATTTCTTTCTGCCCCTCCCAAGTGTTGCCGTCCGCTTCATTGCGCGGAAGCGAGAGAACCAATTTATTGGACTTGGAGCCTGGATTGCGTCAGTCCAAAACTCAGAAGGACTGAGGAAGAGACCTTTCTCCCGTTTTTTAAGGGAAGCTTTCTAACTCCTGTAGTTATTTCTAGAAAAGGAAAGTACGAATAGGTCCGTGTGCGCAAACGCACTTAGAAACCAACCTACTCTTACGGTTTGGAGGAAGGGCTTCCCCCACGGTACCTTTCCCTGAAAAATGCATGTGGGTACATTTCCTCTTACTCACTGAACAGCTGCAGTGCTGTACAGTACTGAGCCCTAAATCTTTAAGCGGACTGAAATGGGCTAGTTCTCCCATAGTTTCTAAGTAGCAGGAAGATCTGCTGAGTGGGAGGAGGAGCGTCTCCCCCAAAAAGACTAGAAGGCAGCAAGCTGATTCATACTGCATATTGCGCAGTCCCGAGTAAACTCTTCATGAATGGGGTGGGGTGGGAAGGGTGGGCAGACTGATCCTTAGGAAGTAAGGCAATGCCTTCTCTAGCCCGAGATGGGGAGGGGAGTAATGGCCAAGGACTTTTCGGGAAAGACTCCCAGCGGCCAAAGATGCTCTCTACTCAAGAGAGCACCTAAACCCCTAGGAAAAGAATAATTTTTTCTGAATGTGCAAGTGGAGAACAGTTATTCTTTCAACCCTGTCATAAATAAAAAAATACTCTCCTTTATTTTCCATTACAAAAATAGGAATCATATTCAAAGCAATGATTGTCTCCCTCTTACTCTCTATCTCTTCTATTTTATTAAAAAACATAAGTTTAGAGGAATGCCCTCGGGGTTTTGTTTTGTTTTTGTGCATAGCTAACCACTAAAGGCCTATTCCTCAGGTCTGTTCACTACCCCAGAGTTTTACTCAAATCACTATCTTTCAAACAGTAAGGTAGCTGTCTGGGGATGATAGGAGTTGTAATCAAGCACATTTGATGGGAATCTGGTTGGGGAAAGCTCTATCACTATGCATCCTTATCCAATATTTATTATTTTATATCTATTTATTTAAAGGGTTGGTCCACAAAGTAGATCTGTGCGTTTCTCTAGTGCTTACTCTTAATTTAATTTTTTTGTACAAAAGAAAAACAGTATTATTATCAAAATAGTCATTTAATGGCTTTACTTCATACATAAATACATGTTTAGATAACATAGGAGAGTGGTGATTGATCAGTCAGTTTGGAAATGACTTTGGGGGTGGGGTGGTCCTCTCTCAGATTTTTTTCCCCGGGGGACTCTTGTGTACACAGGAGTGGTTGGGAGCTCATCGCTACAAATAAGCTACTCGCCGTCCTTTGTTTTTAACTCTTTGTTTATACCTTTTACCCAGGACTGCTGCCAAGTATTTCTTGACAGCCATTTGTTTTCGGTAGCGGCTGTAACTGTCTGTGAATATGCCATCCGAGTGCCTTTTGGAAAGGGGTTCTGAGTCGTCCTCCAGGCTACTGGCCCCACTGCAAGGCAAAGAAAGAAAAGCAATTCATGGTTGGTGCAACATTGGGATCAACAGACAGCACCAGTAGAAGCAGAAGTGAAATCTCTAGGGAGGGCAAGGAAGAAGAAGAAAAACGTACAGAATAGGAATATCTGACAGTTACTGACAGTCAATGAAACTGGCAGTGACTAAGATCCCAATAGCTATGTTCTGGAGAGGCATTTTTCAACCTGTGTGGATTCCTTAAGCAGTTTCTTTAACTCTGTTTCTTTTATTAACAAGATCCTTTTAACTTTTGGTACGCCTGCTTACTTTGCATTTTAGGTTGCAATGCGAATGAGAGTCAGCACTTCCCCTCTTTTCTTCTATGCAAATTTCCAAATCTCCTACCAGAAGGTTTGCCTGTCTTGATCGCTCCCATTCCCTTTTTTTAAAAAAAAAATCTTTTTAATAACTTAAGAATCCCCCCACCCAATCATTTGTCTTCACTCAAAGAATTTGGGCTGGGTGGGAATTGGAGTGTTGTTTTTGTTTTTCTTTATGTGGCTGGTTGGTGAACAGCTAAAGCAACACGTAGTAGACTATGGGATAGAAGCAAAGGGAATCAGTGGTAGGCTCTTTCTTGAGGAGGAGACAAAGGATTTCTCTAAACATGCGGCGGAAGTTGAAAACTGATCACAATGCAAGCAGACAGTCGGGAGACCAGCTCATCAAGTTCTGCATTATTCATGAAAAAATTGTGTAATTCATTTCCCTCTTCATTAAAATGTTGCCTTCTGCTGATAGGTACAGTGACACATATGAGCATGCTGGGCTCATATTGGCCTGGGAGATTTGATTTCAGGCCACTAAGATTGGGAGGTTCTATTCCAAGTCCTTCTCTTGCCCTATTCATTTAATTTTCACGCCACAAAATTCTTGATTCTATACCTGGATCAATGGAAATGTGATCTTTTTTCCCTTTGAGACATAGACCTTTGGCATTGATTCATCACAGAGCAGGTTGGGGCAGCAGGCGCAGTATCCATAAAGGACTGAAGTGTACAGTAACTGAGGCTGTTTTTTATCAGCTGAGATTTTCATTGTGATCAGTCTGGTGGGGTGATGCCAATGGTATCATATTAAACAGCATTTATGAATAATCGTGGCACAATTCAGAGTTGCAAATCAGAGAACTTAGTCTAACCGATTTTAATGACCCCTCTAGAATACACAAACAATAGATTGCACACTAAGGATATTCAGATTGGTATCCCAAGGGTAACGATAAAAGGTTATGGCATCTGTGGGGAGGGGGGTTTAAATATTGTTCTGAATTTTGCATCAAGACTTGTAGAGGAGAAAAAGAGCAAGGAGATTATTGGCCAAGGAAGCAATATTATACGAAGGACCTGACTTTTGCATCCAAATCAATACTCCTGTCAAATTTGTCCAGAAAGAAATTCCACTGAGACCAAATGGGGGAAATTAATTTCCATAAAAATACATTTTGGATTAAAAGCCTACAACCCAAGTCTTGTACATTGCACAATAACATCCAGGATGAACCTAGCTATTGGACCACAGGCCATCTAGGAGGCTAGCAACTGAAATCAAAAATCCATTTGTATGAATGAAGAAATGTGTGTAGTGCATATATTAAGTACTCTGATGCAAAAGGCATTTTTCATTTCTTCCGTTGAAGACATGGAACTGCAAGAGATTCAAGCACATGCCCAGTGTTGGAATGAAATGGGAAAAAGTCCATTTTGCTTAAAGCACACATCCTTAGGAGGAAGAGAGAGGGAGAGATACACCATTGAGCATCTAATAATAGGTTAATGGTGTTTAATACATTTAGCAACCCTGAGGGTGGGACAGTCATTAAGCCTTGTTTCTTTAAAAGCTGATCGTTTTGCCCTCTTAACACAAGCACAAACAAACAAGAATCTGCAGACAAGAGGTAACATCTTACCCCACCCGCTTGGCCATCAGAGAATGCAGATACTTCCTTGCAGACAACTGGTTCAGCACTTTCCTGTACGCTTTGTTAAGTAGCCCATCTGCACGCCTAAAAAGGGAGAAGTGGAAAGAGCGCCGATTAATAAGCAACAAGAGGTGCTGATTACCCAATTCCCATAGACACCATGGACATCCTCTCCCCCTCCCCTCCCCCCGCAAGCCGATAAGCCACCGAAGAACAGGGAAGATTCCTGGGAGGGCGCCGGCATCAATCTGGCCCCTACTTCTCCTTGGTATTCCCCAGAGAGACGGGGCCGCGCCTATCTTGGCAGCGGCGTCTGACTGTCAAGACCAGCTGTCTGTTTGTCTGTCTGTCTGTGTGTGTCTCTCTCTCCCTCCCCCCACCCCACCCTCTCTCTCTTTCCGGTCGAAGTAAGCTGATGGCTGCCCACTCCCGATTCTCGCTTTTCCAGCGTGGAGGAGAAGCGGTAAGTCTGATTTCGTCTGCCTTGCTGTATTGGCCACCCCTTCCTTCCCATGCTTGTTCGCCCGGGCTGCCTCTAGCCCAGAGGGACGCCAGTTGATTCTGCTCGCTCTCTCTGTCTCTGTCTCTGTCTCTGTCTCTGTCTCTGTCTCTGTCTCTGTCTCTGTCTCTCGCTGTCTCTCTCTCCCACCCTCGCCTTCAAGACAAAGCTGGGAAGCGCAAGGGAAATCCGCCCGCCACACCCACCGATGTGGGCTGAGACGTGAGTGCCCCCATCAGCCCTGGACGACCGCTCCCCGGGCGCATCATTCAAATTCTCATATAAATGCAAATACGAAATCACCTTTTGTCCGGCGGGTAATACAAAGTGTACATGTCGTCCAGCATGGAGGAAGGGTCGGCTATACTGAGGGGTTCGCTGTCAAAGGCATAGTCCGAAAGAGTGTTGCCCTCTTCGTCGTACATTTCATCTTCCAGCCTACTGAAGGAGAACAGACGCACAAGCGCCGCCTTAATGTGGGAGTTGGGGAGAGATGCAGCGGAGGGGCAATTTGGGAAGGGGACGGATAAGAGTCGGTAAGCAGACGAGTGGGCCCACCCGCCACCTCTGACTGGTTAAAGGGGGTGGGTATACCCGGGAAAGAGAGAAGAGCACCGCCATCCCAGTTAAAGCCCCGCTGTTCATCCCGACAACCTCCAAAGGAGAGCAACGACAGTTTCTTGTACAACCTGGGAATTTGGAACCGGTTGCCCAGCTAACTTGGGAAGAAGGGCCGGGACAGAAAGATAAAAACTCAGTCTAAACCCTTGAGCAAGCGCCTTCCCCTAGCCTAGCGCCTTGCGTCGCCCTTCTCTTTTCAGTCCGTCAAAAAAAACCCTTCTGCAAAGGGACAAAGGCGGATCTGAGAGACTTTTGGGGTAGGGATTGGGGTTTTTTCTCAAGTCTAAAGACTCTCCGTTCCTCCCTACCCAAGTACCAACTGCTTTCATTTAACCTGCGGGTGTATTTCTTAGTCCTCCCCCCCGCCCCCCAGGACAATGGAAACCCAAAAAGGAAGAAATGGGGCCTCGGGCACCAACCCTGGAACTGGAAGGGCAACGGAGACAGGGGGCTCTATCGGGTTGGCTTGGAACACCCAAGCTTGCCACGGAACAAAGAAATGCAGACAGCGTGGCTACTCCTGGCGGACTTGCACTTTCTGGGGTTGTTCCCTTTCGCCCACCAACCTCCCGAGGCAACGAAACTCTTTCGGGCGCCTCTGTGCATTTCTGGGCGATGCGGAGTTGACAGACGCAGGATCCCAACACTGAAATCATTGCCTGGGGGACGCTACCTGAGTGAGTGCATTACACACACACACACACACACACACACACACACACAGGACCCTTTCCTTCCTCCTCACTTCGCCTCCTTGCAGCCTTCATTTCTTCCCCCTACACACACACACACACACACACACCTCCTGTTNTATTGGTAGATAATGAGTAGGTTTATTTTGCACTGGTCAATAATTCCAAATATTTTAATGAGCGCAATAACACAATTATCTTCCACTCCACACAATTCCTCTAGAAATATACTGTTATTTGCGGGGGGACAGACTTTAGAAGTATCAAGAAATAGGTATTTCTGTTCATGTTATGTAGACTTGTTTCCAATAATCAGAAATCCCCTGAATTTCATCTCCACATGTCTCCTGCACTAGATAAAACTGGGGACCTTTGGATCCACTAAAAAACAAAATAAATTTTACAAACCTCTTTGCCCACATGGTTCTGCATTAGCAAAAGATGACAGCTCCAGACCTTACTATGCATCAGCCATTTCTATCTAGAAATTTAGTTCCAAAGTTGCTTGAGGTACAATAGGCTTAATGTATTTAATTGTGAAAACTGTTTTTAAAAAATCATTTTCGAAAGGTGAAATTTTGAAACAGGAGACACAGATGCTTAACTTAACATTTCTAAACAACTCATCTCCCTGCTTGAATTTTAAATATTTTCTCCTAATACTCTAGAACAGCAAGTTAAATTAGACATTGGTGTTTGTCTTACGATCATTACTAGCACTGTCTATAATTTGATGTCACTAAATGGAACCAAACTTTTAGCAGCAAAGAGTACACAATCCATCAGTTTAATGATTATCTGAATACAAATAACTGCACAAATTATTTTTTCAGGACATGTAATCTGCTTCTAGAGGGACGCGGTGGCTCAGTGGCTAAGACGTTGAGCTTGTCGATCAGAAAGGTCCGCAGTTCCAATCCCTAGTGCTGCGCAACAGAGTGAGCTCCCGTTACTTGTCCCAGCTTCTGCCAATCTAGCAGTTCAAAAGCATATAAAAAATGCAAGTAGAAAAATAGGAACCACCTTTGGTGGGAAAGTAACAGCATTCCGTGCACCGCTGACATTTAGTCATGCCAGCCATATGACCATCGAGACGTCTTCAGACAGTGCTGACTCTTCAGCTTTGAAACAGAGATGAGCACCGCCCCCTAGAGTCGGGAACGACTAGCACATATGTGCGAGGGGAACCTTTACCTTTTAAATCTGCTTCTAATTTGTGCATTCTGTTCGGTATAAAGTCACAATGTAAAATTCACCTAGCACATAACTTCATTAATGTTTAAAAAATCACCCATCCCCACTGCAAGTTTCTTACTGTTTGTCTATAATGCTGGCATAACTTTTCCATTTAATTTCATCATAATGATCCAAGATCAGTAGAAAGCTTTTATTGTTCCTGAAGCGAGTTCGATGATGCATGTCAGCCAACATTAATTAATGTTACCTGCCAAAGAAAACCCCCATGCAATCAGTCAGCTTCACTTGAGCAGAAATTGGCCACTGTTGTTCACTGGGCTTTAATTATGAATTTATTTTTTGTTTCTTAGATTTATATCTTGCCTTTTCTCTTTTTAACATAAGGCAGAAGCTATAGTGATAACTCCTTCTATTTTTTCACAAGTTATGTTGACCTAAGGGGGAAATTACTGACCCAAAGTCAACCAGAGAACTTCCATGGCTGAGAATGGACTTGAAACTAGATCTCTCTAATCTAAGATTTTTAACCACTAGATCACACTGGCTCAATGCAACAAGGAGTAAACTTCTCTATACTTATCTATATGGTACATATGATGTCCAATGTATTTGAGATGATTCTCCAGACGTTTCGGATGTTAATATGTCAAGTTTCATGGTATGGCCCTGTACAAGATAGATTCTTCAACTTCAGTATTCTCTCCATAGTATGAAAGTCACAGGGACTTATATTGCCCTCTAGATCTATGTGAAATCATCGGCTCTAGAAATTCAGGAATCTTCTACTGCAGACTTAGCACTGGGTTGAGGGCTTTAAGAAAGGGGAGAAATTCCACTGCGCAAGCAGAAGCCTATTTGTACAATTGTATTTCCTCCTTCCCAAATGAAAAAAAGGCTTGTAAGATGCCATACTTTAAATTGGGTTACATTTTTATAATTTCTCCCAATGTCTTAATTCTCAATTCTACTACAAATGTTATTTATCATTCTGAAAAGTATATTTAAGAATGTTAATTGCTATGTTGTTTTCGTATTATTTTTTAAAGGTAGTTTCATTTGTATTTACTACTTGTTAAGTACAATGTTGTAGAGCAGCAACAAAAATCATGAGGAATCTGATAGTATTTTTTTCAGCTAACACATTTTCATGAATGAAAGTTTATGTCCTTTAATAGAATTTGTTAATCAGAAAAGGTGCTATCTGACTTGGTTTTTTATCTCCTTTGAAAAACCTTTTATCTTTCTCTCACATAAAATAAAATGGTTATTTCACTCTAATCCTCCTGATATACATATACAAGAATATATAAAGCTGAAATGTTTGATTCCAGATGTTATTGGAACATAGCAACTGAAGATCTAAGATCATGTGTCCATCAAAGGTCATATCATTCTATGCAAAAAAGAGCAGCTGACATTTTATTTGGTACTGGATCTTAGTAGCAAGCCCTATCCCCATATTGCCTTCTTATAATATAAGCATGTCTAGTTAGGATAGCACATGTGAACTAACGTTTTCTGTTCTTCATAGGACTTCTGTCTTTTTCAGCTGAAAGTAGAGTTTACAGGTATCGTAGAACTTTCCCCAGGATGTAAGTTGCTAATAATTTCAGACTGTAGGTATCCTCCCAGCTATAATTCCATAATGTTGCCTCAAAAATACCTCATTTTCCACACATAACATCCTATTCTTTTCACAATTAGAGATCACTCCATCCAATCAAATTATTTACATACTTGAAATTCATTGTTTATGGGTTAACTGCTTCTTAGTTGTAGAGTAAGGAAGATGACCTCGATGGAAATATGCAGAACCTGTTGCCTGGGCAAAAATGACGGATGCATTTTTTAAAGTCCAGAACATACTCCAACAGAAGTTTTCAGACAGACACAGTTCTAATTCATTGAATTGTAAAGAGGAGTATGTAGTATAGAGCAGTGTTTCTCAACCTTGGCAACTTGAAGATGCCTGGACTTCAAGTTCCAGAATTCCCCAGCCAGCGAATGCTGGCTGGGGAANTCAACAAAAGATGATTTCCTCAAGTAGCTTTGGGAGATTTTCCGAAATGTTCCAACTAGGTCCGCATTCTGCTCCTTGCGGAGCCTTAATTTAATATATATATATATATTAAGAAGTGCAAGGGGGAATACTTCAACAGTCATCCTTAATTGACCTCCACTGTGGATTGTGAAATAAATCTTATGGCACATGACATTAACTAGATTCCACACTAAATCCTTCTTTGCATCTTTGGGACCTGTCTGGCAAACCAGCCAGAGTTTGAAATTAATACTATTAAATCTTCAAAGTAATGTGGTTTTTCTTATTCAATAGGCAGTTGTAAATTTATTTTAAAGAACTGGTTGGTTTGGAATTTATTGCTAAACAAATACATTTAAATTTTGGGCAGAAATTGTGGGAAGAAAGTGACTTCAATGAGGTAGTTAAACACACATCCTAGAAGATATTATTACAGAAGAATCCTTCTAATGCATATTGGTGTAAACCTTATGGGGTTTTTTCCTAGCCATTCCAGAAACAAATTACATGAAAAAATAAATAAATGATTGAATGTGTGGGGGCAAGGAGGAGTCTAACAGTCTTCCTACATTTCCTTACAATGACAGGAAATGAGGTAAGAAACCAACTGAACTGAACTGAAAATCATTGGGGATCAGACAACTCCATTGTGAGAACCTGTGTTAGCCAATCGTTCAAATCTTACAAGAAAGTCAGCAGACAAAAATCATTCGCCAACCAATGCTGACGTTTGAAAAAGATTTGGCCCTATGCCAAGTACTGCTTGACTTCAGTCTGGACTGCACTTCAATTAATTTAAATTTCAGAGAATTAAAAACTCCTACAAAATTAAGAAACCAATGAATCTATCTCAGCTTCTGCGGTTTGATTACTAGTTATAGAAATGTTTTGTCACTGCTTTCTTCCAAGGCAGGTTTCCAGTTTCCCATGCTAACCTACATCCCTGGGGATGACTGTGATCAATCCTCTTTCAAATTATCCAATTTACAGGCATCTACTGAAACAAGCATTGAGCACTGAGCATTGGTCAGGTTAAATCAGATGATTTGGCAATTCTCTGAAAATTATCATGTACAAAAGGAATCATTTCCTTGTGTATTAGATATGATTTCAAACCTTAATTCATACTACCAGCCATGTAATAGGTGCAGTGTTTTAACTACCTTCATCTAGTAACTTCTAGATAATAGGCTATGGGCAACCAAATTCCAGATCAGAAATAAATAGAATTCTAGTGTATAATAATAATATAGAGAGGGCTGAAAGCCCTATGAAGCGGTATATAAGTCTACTGCTATTACTATTGCTATAATAATAATATCCTTAAATCTACATAGATATTTACATAGTTTCACTGTAAGGCTGCTAGGTAACACACTGATCTAAGAGTAATATTCATTAAATGTTTTAGGCTAACTTTTGGAAAATTATGTACATACCCATATTTAGAAATAAATTCCATTGGTATAACTGGCACTTACTTCTGAGTAAGCATGGCCATCATTAGCGCCCAAAGTTAATAAGAATTTCTACATTGTTTTCTTCATGTTGGAGATAAGCTCAAAGATAGTAGATAACACGTACAAAGCGATTTATCCATTGTGACACATACACCTCTAGAATATTATTCTGGGATTATTTAGGAGACTAACCTGAAAAGGGGAAGCCACTGACTTTCCGTTCCAGTCAGGGATTCCCAAGAGACTGTGATGGAAAAGCCTAGTCCGAAGGAACTCCTCCCACCTACCCCCTTCCCCAAATCAAAATTATTGCTCTGGAGGAAGACCAGAGGAAGAATTAATCTTGCCAATTTGAGGCTAGATGTAAGAGATGGAAGCTTCCACTGAGCAATTAATTAAGCAAAACGCACGCGCACACACATACATGCATATGCACTCAAGCACGCACGCGCGTTTTCTTCTTCCCTCTCTCACACACGCATATGTACACACCCCAGTCAAAATACTGTAACCTCGCACGTTTTCCTGGCCGTTTCGTTCCCCCACGCTCCTAAAGAATCGCGGCCTCTCTTGAATCTAAGAGTTCCAGTGGACTTCTACCCCAGGCAGGACATACAAGTGAAAGAAACAGGCGAGGGCCCCCTCTGCGATCTCAATTCTTCCAGCCTATCTTGGCAGAAGTTGCCCTCCCCCTTTGCCAGATGTGGCGAAGTCGCCTTGGACAAGGGACTAAGGCTTCGCGAGCCTTAACCTGGACAGCTCCGAGCGAGACGGCCGAATGGCAAAGGAGCAGACGAGACAGGAGCGCCGGGCGGCGACGGCAGCCAAGGCTGGACTCTGGCTAGGGGGCGGGGAAGGCAGAATAGGGCACTTACCTCAGCGCGGGGTACTGAAGTCCAGCAGCAGCAGCGGCAGCAGCAGGTGAGCAGTAGACGCTGCAGTGCATAACCAGCCCATAAAGCAGCAGGGCGAGAAACGCTTTGCTGCACATCGCCACTCTGGGAGGGAGGGAGGGAAGAAGGAAGGAAGGAAGGAAGGAAGGAAGGAAGGAAGGAAGGAAGGAAGGAAGGAAGGAAAGAAAGAA